GTTGCAGGATATCTCGCTGTGGCGAGAAGAGTGTCCAGAAATCAGGCATTCTGATGCTCTCTCGCTATAGCTAAAATTCTCTCGTTGTAGCGAGGAGCTCTCGCTGTAACTAGAATGACAGATAGCAAAGTGTAATTTTGTCTAGTTTTTTTGCTACAGCGAGAGAAGGGCTTGCTATAGCGAGAAATAGCTCGCTGTAGCGAGAATGTCGCGAGTCTAGGGGTATTTAAGAGCTCTCCCTTGTTCTCTCGACCCTTAACCCTCTCTTCTCAAAAAATCTCTCCAAAACCTCAACTTTATTTCAAATCCAAGCTTGGGAACTTCATTAATAAACTCCAAGTAAGTTCTTGGAGCTTTGTTTTCTCTTTTTGGGTGTTTTCTAAGTTTCTCTTTTTTCAAAATGTTCTCTTTTGTGATATCTAGGAAGATCTGGGTCCTTTCACCTTAAATCCTTCACAAAATCTCTTTCAAAACTTCGTCTCAAGGTAAAGAGAGCTCTATTTTGTTATTTTAAGCATAATAATTATTTTATAACCATGAGAGTACTTTATGTATGTGTTTTAGTATGATTCTTATGATTGATAGACATTGAATTATTATGAAAAAAATATGTTTGGCTGATTTTGGGTGTTAATGATATGTTTGAGTAGTCCGTTTGTTTGGAATTTAGTTTGGAAGCGCTTTACTAAGCACGATTTCTTATTGAATAATGAGTTTAGTACAAAAGGGAGTATGAGATATGTGTAAGAAGCTGAATGATTCTAGTGTGAATAGTTACAAAGATACACTGAGGGTATAGAGTCTAGAGGCGATAGAAAATCTGGGAAAAATGTAGGGTAGTGAGCGACATTCACGCATGTGTACACATTCTTTCTAAGAGCGAATGCGCCACATAGCCTCACACTCGTTTCCTGACTAGACTCCTGACTATACCTTTGCTAAGGAGCCCGTTATTGTATACGTTGTATCCGTATACATGGGTTAACCGACGACTATTTACCTAATTGTGTAAGATCTTAAGAACTGCTGGAGGCATCGTATAATTGTGATCACAGTGCACTGAATGTGCGTATCCGAAAGAGAGTAACATAATAATTATGAATATGTGTATGTCTAATATATTGCTTTGAAATTTATGTTATTATGATTCCTTGTATTCCATGACCATGATTGTGCTGTTATGTTAGTCTTTAAAGTAATATTATGTTTTAAATGATAAGATATATGCTCATTCTTACTAATAATTTCAGGGAATCAGGATGATGAATTCGTCGGAAAGAGTTAGGCCGATAGATAGTTTTGTAGACTTTAGATTAAATTACGTATTTAATAAATACCAGCGTGTAAATCATTTTAAATTTGCTGTATTAGTAGAAAATGACCCTAGGGTTTATGTCATTATAGAGATGGATTTTGCTTGTAGTATTTCATTCGACTTCCCTAGGAGTAGGATACACCAAACCTTATGTGTATATATGTATAAAGGTACAGTTAGAACCCCAACAGCCCTTACTTACTTATACACCTACCATGACCACGACTCTCTAGGAAGACCTACTCGTTGGACCTTTGAGTGCATCACGGGGACAAAGGTCAGAGCTGACTCTAACGACGAATATCTGGGATCTGATGATGACCTAGACTCCGAAGACCTAGCCGAGATAGAGAGTTAGAATGTTGGAGATAAGTATAATTGAGGCTGCTCTAGGATCCTTTCTATAGTGTTTGGTGTTGTAATTATTATTTTCATTTGTAAATACTCAAATATACAGTTTGTAAATTAATATATTGTATTGTAAAGTTTATGTATAGCCTTTTTCTTTACTTTTGATTATGGTAATTTCGGAAGTTTTATGCTATTGCACTATTCTATTGATTTAAATGGAAATATTTGATTAAATTGTAGTAATTACTTCAAGGAAAATTATTTATATGTACTAAATTTGAAATAAGGACGTTACATAGAATCCTAATTTCAAATTTATTTTTAAAACTTGTTAATAATTCCAAAAATTAATTTTTAGAAGTGTAAAATTTTAATTCTTGAAGTGATAAAAATACCTAAAAAGTTATAATATTTAAAATACACTAAAGATGTGATAATGAAAGAATAATGAAGCTTAAAATAATAAAGCATAACAATGAAATGTAAAGTTCTAAAAGAAAAATAAGTTATTCCAAAAATTGAAATGAAAATAAAAAATTAATAATTAAATTATTGTTAAATGTATTTTAAAAAAAAGTTATATAAAAAAAATAAAAGAATTAAAAATAAAATCCCCTAAAAACTAGAGGTAATCTTCATCTACATTTGCCATTCATCCTTGTTGTTACTTAATTGATCTGTGATCTATTATTGTTATTACTAAATTAAGTTTTTCAATCACTTAATTAAGTATTGAAATATTTTTCTTCAAGAACACCCATCCGCCAATTGAGATCCAACTCTGAGACCTAATTTTTTATGGGCATTCATAACCATTTCAATGACCCTCACACTCAGATATTAATGTGAACATATATATATATATATATATATATATATATATATATATATATATATATACACACAAATACATATATATAATATTAAAAGTTTTTAAAATATTATTATTGATAATTTTTGAAATTTTATAACTTTTAGTTGATGAATATTACTGTATTTGTACATTTTGTGTTTTATATTTTTATAATTTTTTTTCAAAAACATCCTCTTTTAATATATATAATTTTTAAACACTATATATCAAAAAAGAATCCGAAAAATTACCAATGGATTAAATAAATTATTTGGCAGTGTTTATAGATGCAAAAGATTTTTCATTTGAATACCAGGTCGTTATAGACTACATTGAATGCATATTGCTATTATATATGCATGTTATTATCATTGAATTTGATTGCTGTAAGTGTACGTTGAATTTTCTTCGAAAATATTTCTAACATATAACTATAAATAATTTGTAACATAAAGATTTTGTTTACACTATTTTAACAGATTTTACTTTTATTTTTTAAATATATCAATTAAAATATCATAATAATTAAATAAAATTTAACATTTAAATATGTCTATGATGATTTTTTTAAAGCATAAGTTCTTTTTCTTATAATTTACATTTTTATTTTATATTAATTTTACGTTGTACTATCGTCTCATAACTGTAAAATTTATCATATTTCGTATTTATATCGTATCGTTCGTCTGCTTTATAAAATTTTATTATTTATTAATTTTTAACTAATACTCTTAAAATATTAGTTAATAAAACTTAAATATGAAAATGAATAAAATTAGTAATACAAATAATAAAATTCTAAACTTTATTACCTGTGAGGTGCAGTTGAGAAAATTCTCTGATATTTTCTGTGTGGTTATTCAGACCATATTGTTTGGTCGACAACCACACAATTTAGGAGTGACAACCAAAAAGACAATGGATTTGTACCTGTGAGATACGCAATACTCACATTGACTTGTCTGATTTGGTGTAAGGTTGTGTAAGTTTAATTTTAATTTGTTAAATATAATTTAAATATGTATATAAATTAATTTGAAATATATATTTTTATTAAAATATATTTTTGTCATAAATAATTTCTGTGATGCCTTGTTAATTAAAAAAAGTACAGAATGTGTTATCATAAGTAGAATAATTATTATCATTAATTTTATATTAATTATGTATAATAAATAGTGAGAGTTAATGATTTATTTTTAAAAAAAATATAAGTTTTTTAATTTTAAAAGAATCCCAACTGTAAATTTAAAAGAAGTATAGTATATCTTTTTAAGTTTAACAATATCATAATAAGGACTTACGGTCGTACCCAAGCCAGAAGTTGTAGAAATATTAATTATTAATTATTAATTATTAAAATTTATTTTTGAAATATTCTTTTAGAAATTAAAACTTAAAAGTAAAAATAAATAAAAAAAGGGGGAAGAAATTCCCACGTTGTTTTATCGTTTCCTTTATTTTTGAGGCACATGGAGACCCCATTCCTTGTTAGCTGTAACATAAGAGATTAGTTGTCTACATGGGACCATGAAGCCTTAATATCAATGAATGTGGCAACTGCTACTTACAATTATCTTTATCCATTTTGTTTTTTGTTTTTATCGGTATTCTGTCGATTGTATTAACGTGAATTTTTAGAGTTAATTTGAAGTAATTGTATTCTTAAATTTATATATAATAAGTATTTTTAATAATTTTTATTTTAATTATTAAAATTAATCAGAAGAATTGATCATATTAATAAAAACTTTGTAGTCTATTTGACAATGAAGTTTTTGTCTGATTATCATTTTTCTTGAAAGAAAGGAAGATGAGTCGAAACTTTTTGATAATTAATAAAGTTTTGGCTTATTATCATTTTTCTTATAAAAACGTACGAATCATTGACTAATTCTCTTCTTTCTCAGAAAAAGACCACACTCAATTATAGCTTTGTTATCGAAACGGAAAATGATTTTTTCCTTAGTTTCTTTAAAAGTTAAATTCATCTGTTGAACTCATTATTCCATTCTCAAATACACAGAGACAAACATAAACTGGTTGAGATTACCTCGTTCAAATGCATGTCAATGCGATAAACATGGCTATTTTATTAAAGTTCAAATACGTTTTCAGTCATTATAAAAATTCCTTCCTGTTTATAATTGTTGACTTGATCAATATATAATTTTAAGCACTATTACGTTTACCAACTTATTATATTTGTTAAATAGAATACCTTATATCAGCTATATTATCAACTAATTAACGACATATTAATAGTAAGGATTAAAAAAAAAAACAGCATACGTCAATAAACAAAAATACATTTTGAAAATTAATAATATTTATTAACACACCCATTTATGATTAAATAATAATATAAAAATTTTCTTGTAACACAATCGTATTCTAACTATATATTAAAAAATATATTTACATCTTTCATAAAAAAACTTGCCAATAAAATAACTGTTGCCTAACATTTTTCTCAAAAGTACGAACTATTTATTTTCTTTTATCTCAGAAGTAGGTCACATAGTTGATCACAATTCATAAGCATTTAAATGGACACAATACAAGTTATCTAGAACACACACATAAGCCGCTTCGGTTTCTAGACAGATATTCGTACTTTTGAAAGTAGAATTTTCCCATCAAATTAAATATCTCTTTTTGTTACCCTAACCTTCAAACCATCCTTCATCAGAAGAACAATTGAATGAATGGGAGTAGCAAAATGACCTTTCACCACTTGAATGCGATAGTTAAGCAAAATAGCAGTGGCCACCATCTTCAACTGAATAAAGGACACGTCTTTGCCCAAACAAGTTCTGGGTCCTGCGTTAAAAGCAATGAATTTGTAAGATGGTGCATAAACAACGCCTCCTCTCTTTGAGATCCATCTTTCTGGCTTGAACTCAAAACAATCCTTTCCCCATACATCTTCTAATCTCCCCATTGCATACAAAGATAACAATATCATTGTATTGGGATTGACACTGTGTCCACTAGGAAGTGTATCAGCTTTTATCGCTTGCTTGCGCTCAAAAGGTATTGGAGGAAAAAGCCTCAATGCTTCACATATAGCACCATGGAGATAAACTTGCTTTTTCACCTTCTCCACGCTTATATCCCCTACCTTCTTTTCATTACCACCAAAGATATCCTTGATCTCTTCAAGAATCTTGGATTCCACTAATGGGTTTGTAGCAACAAGCCAAAAGAACCATGTGAGAGCTGAGGTTATGGTATCTCTTCCTGCTACAAAAATATTGAACACAGCATCCCTTAAAAACTTGTCATCATGTGCTTGTCCCTTTTGTTCTTTCATCAAAGATGTAAGGAAGTCAACATGATCAGCTTCATTATTTTCATTGGAGGATTTGCATAGCTCTTCTCGCTTTGATGCCACACATGCATACAAGAATTGATCAAAGGTTTTACATGCCTCTGTCATCTTCTTCTCTGCACCAATTTGAAACCATTTCATTAACTTCCAAACACTTTTTGGCACCACGTGTCGGTAGAATATGGACTCTTCTATTTGGTTAAAAGCCGTCTCGATTGCAACTTCAGGGAAATCAATAGAAAGACAATTAGGATCATATCCTAAAACTATGTAGCATATGTTATCGAAAGTGAACCTATTGAAAACATCTTGTAAATCCACCACCTTCCCTTGTTGTTGTGCATGATCCAATATTGGAAGAAGGCCTTGATGTATCTTTCTCTGAATGGTTTTCCCGATAAACACCTCGAAGGTTCTTTGTTTAAACAAAGAATGGAACAAAGACCTACTGTATTTCCATCCCTCTGAATCAGCAGCGAATATCCCATCTCCAAAAGCATCAAAAATCTCACGAAACTCAGTACCCTTAACGTAGTTGTCGAAACTCTTGCTCATCATGTGGTGCACGTTGATGGGGTCAGTAGTGATGACATAGTTCATGTCGGTAAACCAAGGTCCAATGAACTCACCCGTGCCACCATGTCGTGTCAAAATCTCAGTGATAAAATCATGCACGCGCCACAAATTCCAAAGAACTGTGGGTAGCATGCCAAGGATAGGATAGTCTATTAGGAGAGGATGTCTGCAACATTGTCTGCGATGGAGGAAGTAAAGGAACGAGAAAAGTGTCACAATTATTGATGCTGCATAGACTAGCGTTGCCATAGGAAATCACGAGAAGCTTTTTTAGTTGAATATACGAATAAGATATTGTTTTAAGTGTGGATTGTGGATAATAATCTACCCCTTATCTTCTCATATATAGCAAAATATTCGGTAACCGCACACCTCGATCGAGAGGGAGATAGTAATAGATACCAGAAAAGTTGAACCACATAAAATAGATAATATTAACGTATATAATAATTTTTTATTAAGAATAGTAAATTTTCACATAACGTAATATGAATCATGTTAGATAATATAATTTTTAATAAAATTTATTATATTTTTTAACTTGTATTTTGGACATTAATTATTATGAAAGGGTAAATATATATCATAAGTGACTCTTGTAGCGTGGGAACTTCAGATTTGTTTTCCTACATAAATATCTCGTTTTATAACCTTCTGCCACGTTGGAAAAGACATTTCAGTATCTAACTAATCCCGTGTAATATTATTGTATTAACTCGTCTTTTAGTTGTGTTTAGCACAAGGGAAAGCTAGTTATTCAATCAAATTTCTCTGCATTACACTTTATAGAAATTGAAAATTTTGACATTCTAGCTCTACAGTATAATATAGCAATTGAAAAACTTCACGTTCTTGCTATATAAATACTATAAATTGTATATCATACTTATTTTTAGGTAAGTAATCAAATAATATAGTAATTACAAAATATGTCAAGAACCGAACTAAAGACTCTTAATACCATTAATCGGTAAAATTAGCATGTTTTCCTTATAAATTTGTTTGACATAGAAAAATAATATAACACAATTATAAAATAAAAATTAACGTGAAAACTTTGAAATAAAAAAAAAAATCACAACTGTTATTTTAGAATAATTAAAAAACAATATTACGTAATACTGCTTTTCTCTTAATCATTTCAAAACTCAATACACTCACATTCTTTAAAACAAATATTTAAACATCTCACAAAACTTTAAAATAAAAATATAAAAAAAGTTAAATACAAATTTATAATATTTTCAATTAATGTAACTGAAAATAAAAAAAAACTTGAAATTAATATGTTACATTGGTTTCCTTTTCTTTTAAGACCTGAATAATAAAAATATTTATTTAAACTAACTCTAAATAATAGTGCACGAGAAAGAAGGTGACGTGTTTCAATTTATTAAGTAATGAACAGATAACCAACTCATAACGTCACTGTCACATTATTTTTTTTTAATATTTTATTATTTAAAATCAATATTTATAATCAAATTTTAAAATATATCTTAAATATTTTTAAAAAATTGACATAATTATACCCTTTTTCTCTTCTTATTTGTAACGCTCTGAATTTTGATAATATTAATTATTGTTATAGATGTGTGTATATATGTGCATGACTGGATTGAGCTGAAAATAGACTAAGTGCCTAGATGCAGGGCGTTCTCGCTGTAGCGAGGAGAATTCTCGCTGTAGGGAGAGGACCCTAGGGGGAAAAGGGCGAACTGTCGCCTTCTAGCTGTAGCGAGAGACGTCTTACTGTGGCGAGAGAGCGACAGAGGGGAGTGCATTTCTGGGTGCAGTCTCGCTGTAGCAAGATTTTGCAGAAACCAAGATGCAGTCTTGTCTGAGATTTTTGCTGTGGTGACAGAGGCTGGTGCTGCTGCGAGAGATGCCTCACCATAGCGAGAGTTGTCGCTGTAGCGAGAGTATCGCGATCAAAAGGGTTTTAAAAAGGAGTTTAGGGATTTGAGATTCATTTCTCAAATTCCCTCCGAAATCTCTTCGATCTTCTTGATCCAAAGCCCTATTCTACTGATTAATTGTCTCCAAAGCCGTTTGAGAGCTTGATTGAAGGTTGAATCTGTGTGGGGAACGCTTGGAGGTGAGTTTTAATGTTTAGGGTTCCATTTCTCATCCCCTTTTCTCTGTTTTTGGGTTTCTTGGATTTTTATGGAGTCCTTTCATGTGTTTTAGGCTGAAAACCGTGTGGGGAGCACTTCCGAGGTTGAATCCGAGTGCAGGTCTTCAATCCAAGGTAAGGGGAGACTCTACCCTATCTCAAATGTATGTGAGTTGCTGTTTATCTGTGGAATATAGTGATGTGGCTGAGTGATAGGGTAGGAAATTGCTGTGAAATATGATGTGGGTCATGTGTCGTGATATATGAATATTATGTGTGAGTATGGATGGGGGAAAGGGTGTTTACCCGAAATTAATAAATGTGAATTATATGCTAGATGTTGTGTGATAGAATGAGGGCTTGTATGCCAAATATTGTGAATGGGGCACTTGTGCCGTATATATATATTGAATGAATGTTGTTAAAAATGTGGGCCGAGGGCCGTGTAATATGCATGAATAATTGTAGGCTATGTTTCGTGTGCTGTGAAATGAATGTGAGCCTAGTGCCGTATATTATGAATAAAATGTGGGTTGTGTGCCGTGTGAAGCATGAATATTGCATGGGTGACTGAGGCGTATTAGCGCCATTGTAATGAGCTGTGAATGGTTTAGCGATACACTAGGAGTGTGGAAGATGAGGACGGTAGAAATACCTTGAGAAAGAGGGAGTGGTGGTAACACTGACTGTGGAGCGGGTGCACCACAGGCCACACACTCTCTTCCTGACTAGACCTCTAACCACTATCTTTGCTGAGCGATCCGTGACTGCCCACGTGGTATCCATGAGGCGGGAGTAACCGGCAACCATTCATGGTGTAAATTTGTTATCATAGTGCTATAGTGAGTGTGGCTGGCGTGCGTATGCACAGGTTTATAAATTGTACTTATGGATGTGAAATGCTGCCGATGCCGTGAGTGCATCGGTGTTAAATTGACATGAGCTGTGTGATAATGCTGCTTGTGATTGTATTTGTTTAATGTATTGGAAGTGTGCTGGAGGTGAGACTCTAAGTTGATTGTGTGTTTTGGGTAGTGTAAAGTACTCATCCTTACATTCATTTTTCAGGTAATCAAGACCATCAACACCAGACTCAATGAAGGGGTAGATAAAACTACTATAGGATTTAAGATATTATTTTGAAAAGTGTTGTATTTGAATAAGTCCTGTAGCAACTGTTTGATGTAATTTGTAACCCCCTTTCTTTATTTGAAATGTTTGGTAAAACTTGGATTGAAAATAAAAACTTTATTATTTCAAAAATTTGCGAAATTTCTTATTTATTGAAATTAAATTTAATGTGTTACATTGTTCCAATGCGCTTCCTCTTTCTTGTAACCCTAAATTTTGTTTTTTTTCACATAAATCATGGTTAAAGCTTCAACACAAATAACCTGCATCTTATAACATGCGCAAAATTTGCATCTGTAGCATATTACTATGTACTAATGAGATGCAGGTATATAGGCAATGATACATTGAAAGAAAGCAAACTAAGTGAAATACTAGCAATATTACATAAATGCAATCGAACCATGTTATTAGAAATTGATACAAATTTTTAGAATAATATAGAAAAAATATTAGAAATAATTTAGAGGAAACTATTTGAATCTTCTAGTTTCAAGATATTTCTAAAGATAGTTCTAGAGTATTGTAAATTTTCTAGTTTTATGATACTTTTAGATATAGTTCTAGAATATTGAACCATCCAAACATAACGGTGGAAGATGCCTATAAATAAGAATGCTATCACATTATAAATGTTAAAAAGTAAGCAAACTATCAATTCTTCATCTTTTCAGTGTCTTACTCAAACTTTTTCAACTATTATTTTCAACTATTCTCACTAATATATTTCAACTATTTTACTCATTTCACCTACACTAAAACTATCACAGGTACTTATGTCCTTCAACAATTAGAAACACCCAAGTCATATTAACATTAAGAACATAATTTTTGACCTACTACTATTATACACATTATTTGGTACAACTTCACAACTAGTCCTTCAACACGATACTTGATCCTACCATCAAAGTAAAGCTTTTCAGACCCAACACTTGATTTGATGAACTCGTCATTAGGAACCCAACTTCTCCACACGGAATCATTAAAAGAGGTAACTTTGGGCGTGTAACACCCTCAATTTTGTTACTATTAGATAGAAAAAATAGGAATTTGGATAAAAGATATCTCGCTCAAGTGAAATAGATCTCGCTCAAACAACGTAGGATTTCCTAAAATAGAACATTCTGAAACCCCTCGCTCAAGCGAGAATGAGATAACGTTGCCCCAGCTGTCCTCTTGCCCAGACGAGAAAGGGATCTCGCTCAGCTTAGGAGCAGCTCGTCCAAATGAGATAGAGCTGGCTTAGGCGAGGAGTCGCAGGAAAGATAAGGTGCTCGCTGGACTCAATCTCGCTCAGGCAAGAGTATTCTCGCTCAAGCGAGAATATCAGAAAAATGGGTAGTCTTGCTATCTGATTGTCTCGCTCAAGCGAGAAAGGCTCGCCCAGGTGAGAATGGAAGCTCATTCAAGCGAGATCACGTGAGTTTAGAAGGATATTTAAGGAACCTCAGTCTCAAAAACGTTCATTTCTCACCAAACGACCTTCTCTCTTCATTTTCTTTATTTTCTCTTCTTCCTTTTTCTAAAGAAAACTCTCTTAGACTTCGAATCTCTTCCAGATCCCGGCTCAACATCGATTTCATTCAGATCTAAGTAAGTTTCTCGGAGCTCAGATATCTATTTATTCCTTTTCTTTGATTTTCTTCTCATATTAAGATATCTATCTTGAAATACTTAGGAAACTTCATCATTCGGACGATATCTCTGTGGATATTGCGGAATATCTCTCTGTAGATCTCTCAAAAAACTAGTTTTAAGGAACCGTTACCAGGTAAAGGGAGTATTCTCGAGTTTTAATCGTATATACATATGTAGTGATCTTGGGAGAATATGAACAATCTATTTTAGTAATTAATCTATGATATTTATGAATCATATAATAAAAATGTATTTTTGGTATAAGAAAAAGTTTTGGGGTTTATTTGAAACTAATGAAATCAAATTTATAGAAAAAGATATGGGCTAGAATAGCTTTAAGAAGTCTTAAAAACTAAGTTTCTGGGAATGTATACGAGTTAAGTAATAAAGAATATAAAATAATGAACTTTAGTTTAGAAGACCATATTGATATTGTACGAGTTGGACTGAGTCCGAAGGTGTCTGGCCTTTGGCATATGGTATTGATTGTATGGTGTGATATTTATGGTAAGTTTTGTGTTAGATTGATGTATTGTATTGATTGCATGATGTGATATTGTATGATAACTTTCTATGTTAGACTAGTATGATGTAATAAGTATAAATATAATTTGATAGTTGAAATGTATCCAAATTGGGTAAATTCACATGAATAATTGAAGTGTTAATTGATTTAAAAAATACATGATATATGAAAGAGAGAATGAAATATGTCTGAGAATGAATGAGATGTATGATTATGATGCGTGAGTCAAAGTAACTTGAAAAGGGTAATTACGATATATATCATAGCACATTGAAGGATGTATTATAATATATATTGTGATCCACGAATTTATATCAATTGTAACTCGCGTATTATGACATGCTAATCGATAAAAAGAATATAGAAATGAGAAATATTGAGAAAGAGAAAGAGAAAGAGAATAAGTATAGATAGTACAAGGATACACTAGGGGTATAGAGTCCAGAAAAGATTTGAAAAATCTTGGAGAAATAAGGATGGTGAATGCTAATGATAAAAAGGTTGTACAATAATTTATTGAAAAATAAACATTCACAGGCCACACCCTCATTTCCTGACGAAGCTCATGACTATACCTTTGCTAAAAGGGGCCAAAGCGGCACACGTGTATCCGTGACGTTGCGACTAACTAGCAGTTATCTATGCTATGAAGTCCTCAAGGGATCCCAAATCCCAAGGACAATTATTATAAAAGTGTTATAGATGTAAAATAGTATAGAATTTGTATGATTATAATATATGTATCATAACAGATCGATTTATGTTGTTATGATATATGTGTTGTAGATATCGACGAGTGTGACTGAGACATATGTATTGTAACATATTAATTAAGATGATATGATACATGTATCATGACATACAGGTCAACATAAAAATATTTGTATAATGAATGAAGTGTTATATATATATATATATATATATATATATATATATATTCTGATTGATGGTTGTATTATTATATGTACAAGTGTCAATATGAATTGAGTAAAATATTGATAATGAATTAGAATAGGTATTAGATAATAACTTTATTATTTTTATAATGATTTATAATAAAAGAAATTCAGTGGACGAGAAATACTCACCTTTACTGATATTTTTAGGTAATGAAGAAAAAGAAATGAAGATATTTGATCCGTTCTAAGGTCATACTCATTAAGGATTGTGGAAAAGTAACTGCTCATATATAATTTATTTAATATATTTAATGTATAAATCTATTTATGTATTTGAATTTCATTGACAATGAAATGTTAATTTGATAGATTTTGTAAAATTATCAATTTTATTAATTTGTATTCTCATATTGTACTATTTATTCAAAGTTGTACAAATTATTATCAAGTTTCTTAATAATATTTTCGATAATGTAAATCATTTAAAAGAAATTATTTATAGAAAAGGAGGATGTTACAGGACGCCCAACAATGACCCTATAAAGAACTTAAAGAATTTGCTATAGAGGATAAAGCGTGAGAGAGACTAGTGAAGTAAAGAGTAAAGAGAGTACAAAAATAATTTGGAATCGGTAAAATAAAGTAGAGTAGAGGGAGAGATTTTTGTTCGAAAATTTCAGATTCTTAGAAAAGTTGAGGATACCTACCTATTAAGATAGGAAAATAAAAATTCTAATTTCTTCACAATTCAAGTTTTTCGAGAATCTCACATTTCTTGAAATATTTTTTTTTGTATCTTATACCATACATGGATAAGAAAACTTTTTAAGTAATATTCCTAGAAAAATTAAAAGATTCTGGATGTCAAACACCCTTATAGTGGCAGGAAGGGGATGGGGATAAAGTTTGAAAACCTGTTGCATCTTATTGTTTCCTTACTTGTCCGACTATTGAAAATTGACACATTTGAAGGATGCTCCTTTATCTTAGACTTACGTGACTTTTAAGTAAAAGACTTGGATGGAAGGTACCTTAAGGAACAGAGATTAGGGTTTCAGAGAATATTTTTGTAAATATTTAAATAGTGTTTAAAAATTTATTTATAAATATAGATTTTAAATAATATGACAAGGGACTTAATTAGTTGAGATTTTCGTTAACTAATTCATCTGTGAAAGAAATTGACTGTAGATATTATATTTAACTTTTTTTTAATAAATTTAGGAATTAAAATTTAAAAACAAAAATTCTAAAATCTTATCACGAAAGTGTTAATTTTATAAATATCAAAAATATAATATTCATTAAATCACATTTAGACATTCATTACAAGAAATATTTTTTTCATTTTAAAGCTTCAATGAATGTATAAAATAATATAATTTTTAATCTAATCTATCTAATTTTTTTAGGCTTAATTATATTTTTAATCTATATAAATATTAGATATTTTATGATAAATTATTTATTATTTATTTTAAATAAATAATAAAATAAATATTTTATTATTTAAAATAAATATTTATAAAAAAATTTTATAAGCATATTTTATATATTTGTAAGCCATTATCTACCTACTTTTACTCTTTTCATTTATTATGTTAGCTTATCTCTCCTTTACTCCAAAGCAAATCCATATATCTCATTAGTGTAGGAAAGGGAAAAGGTTGCCAAAAGTTAGTATAATGTTGCAGAATTTTCTCCTTATCATTTTTTGAAAGCTCCACCATCCTTTGTTTAGATGGCAATATAGAGGGGTACATCACCAAATCCTCCTCAAAAGAATGGTCAAAGTTCAAGTAATGCCCAATCTAGTGCATCACTACACTCTCCAAGTCCAAAAAATCGTTCTCCCATGAAATGCTCTCGTTTTCACTTGGTGACGCCTAACTCTTGTCACCATCGAGACATATCTCCCCTGTCATAACATTAGAAGAAGGTTTTGATCTTATAATAATATTATCTCCAAAAACCTTGCCCTCAATTTTGTCATCGAAAACATATAACTCAACCTTGATGTTGGCATTATCGTAGGTAGTCTTCGCGAGGTTCAACATCGTCGTGGCCTTTGCCCAGCACATGAGCACATTTATGGTTCAAATAATCGTTGAATGGTCTAGAGGATCGAAGGTAGCTGAAATTAGAGAAGTATTCTTTGAAACGATGGAGGCGTTTGATCAATTTGTATTGGGGTAGGTTTGGTTGTGGGGGAAAGAGTCACTTTTCGTGCCAGGTAAGGGTGGGGAAAGGGAAGGGTCACTACAAGAAAAAACAGATTTAGCTATAAACAATTTTCTAACTAATCCGTAGCTAATCCCTAGATAATAAATTTAGCTACGGCTTAGCTACAGAATTGTCCGTAGCGTAAAACAAGTCGCTAATTAGCTACGGATTAGCTACAAAATTATTTTGTAGCTAAGCTATAGCTAATTCGTAGCTAATGCATAGCTGATTATTCAGTAAACAAAATAACAAGTTTGTAGCTAATTAGTTAGGGATTATCTGTAGCTTTGTCCGTAGCTATTCTGTAGCTATTAATTTTTAGGTCTGTAGCTAATCCATAGCTAATCCCTAACTGATTTTCAATAAACAAAATAACAAGTCCGTAGCTAATTAGCTAAGGATTATTCGTAGCTTATTCCATAGCAAAAGTCTCTAATTATTTTGTAGCTATTTCATAGCTATTCCGTAGCGAAAGTCTTGAATTATTTTGTAGCTATTTCATAGCTAATCTGTAGCTAAAGTCTCTAACTATGCCGTAGTAAATCCGTTGCTAATATGTAGCTAATGTCTTCAATTATTTCGTAGCGATTCCATAGCAAATCTGCAGCTTAAGTTTTATTTTGGTCTGTAGCTATTTCATAGCTGATCGTAGCTAAAGTTTCTAACTATTCTCTAACTAATATGTAGCTAATGTCTTCATTATTTTGTAGCTATTCCATAGCAAATCTGTAGTTAAAGTTCTATTTTAGTCCGTAGCTATTCCATAGCTAACCTGTAGCTAAAGTCTCTAACTATTTCATAGCTAATTCATAGCTAATCTATAGCTAATGTCTTCAATTATTTTGTAGCTATTCCGTAGCAAGTCTGCAGCTAAAGTTTCTATTTTAGTCCGTATCTATTCTGTAGCTAATTAGTAGCTAAAGTCTCTAATTATTCTATAGCTAATCCGTAGCTAATGTTTCCAACTATTTAGTAGCTAATTCGTAGTTAATTTGTAGCCAAAGTTTCTATCTTAGTTCATAGTGATTCCATAGCTAATTTGTAACTAAAGTTTCTATTTAGTCTCTAACTATTTTGTAGCTAATCCATAGCAATTATGTAGCTAATTTCAATCCAACATCTTATTTATTATTCAAAATTAACTTCTAACCACAACATAAATAATTTAAAGACCGCTATATTAAATATCTAAATACTGTAAATATAAGAAAAGTGTGTTAAATATCTGATCGTTAATACAGAAATAAAGTTTAAATTCAAGACATACAAACATAAAGATAGTAATGAGTCTAATCCTAAACCATTGTCATCATCTTTTGCCTCAGCAACTTGATCTAATGGTTCTTCACCTCAAGGGGGTGGTATTGGAGTTAAATTTGGAGCTTGAAGGCCAGTGTACCGGGATAAAATTCCCTCCAACATCAGTGCCAACTGAGTACTAACAAAAGATGTCATTGCTGCATTTACAGCTGCATCTATGACTACTTGTGATGGAGTAGACACAGAAGAGGAAGTAGCACATGTTGGGGTTGTAGACGTTAATGATCCATCATTTGACAACTCTAAGTCGTGATCCAAGCCATGAACCTTTAACCACACATCTGGGTCAATCTCATGATAAGATGATTCTTCACCATACTTTTGTCTCATTGCATTATCAAGGTTGTTTTGCATATATTACAAGCAAAATATTTATCAACTCTACAAATATACTTTATCTATAACTTATATGATTATACTACAGGAGCAAACAACACAAGATGATGTAGTGTCAATCTAATGCAAAGGAAAGAATGTAAAAAAAGCAGCCAAGAGATCATAACAGTATGGGAACACCAAAAGCATCCAACAATATAATTATTTTATTACTTTATATTCAGTGATAAGGCCACACATTCATTACTCACTATGAAATCCAAATAGAAATTATTCATAAGTAATAGACAGAAAGTCTTCCACGGCTAACAACACATGACCAAATTCAAAACAAACAAAAGATGTACATCACCCACTTGAGAATAATATTCAATTCATTGAAAAATAAAAGATAACTATATGTTTCTTGAGATCTTCAATTCATATTACAAAGCGCACAAGAAAAATAATAACAAAGCCAAGAATCCTGAAACTGAAATCTTCAACAATCAGAATAGTAAAATCTCTCCCACATACGAAAGTCAACAAATGAAGATATCTATACAAGAGAAATAGTAAAACCAAAGATATGGGCAGCTAGCGATAATGTACAACAATACTATAAATCATATGTTCTTATATAGCAAATAGTATAAAACAACTAACGGTATAAAAAATTAGGTTTAAGCCACATACAACAAATTGCTTAAAATGCTCAGATACAAATGCTCCAGCCTTGTTCTTATGTGTTTTATGGTACACATCTCGATAAAAAACTTGTTAGTTTTTCTCTATCTCTTGTATTCAACATTCAATTAGATAGAATACATAAAAAAAATATAATTACTGAATCAAATTTGTTATACCATTTTTTTTTTGTGTTTACGAAAACTAATGGATTCTCCTGTGTGTAACATTACGTTAGGCATGGAGGCTCTATTCCTCCGAGCAACTTCTGACTTCCTTTGCCATTGAGGGGACAACCAGATGTCAACTAATCCATCCCAAACTTCAGTTTTCATTCCCTTAGGCCCATGACCCTTTGCATCAGTCAAATTTGTAGAGTTTGCAACCACTAGTGCTTTAGCCCTTGCCTTTTTCAACATGTCTGGATAGCGATCATTGCATGTCATCTCCCATACATGTCTTGCCATATTGTGATCATATTCTGATGCAAATTGATATATTTCCTACAATAATAAAGGAATGAGTTAATATCTCTTTCATTTTTAAAGCATATATAAAGAACTCAATTAAGATATTATCATAAACTCTTGAAATAATGTATCTTTCATATCAGTGGGATAGTCTTTCCACCTTTCTGCTGGGCTGGGCATCCTCACTAGCACAAAGGACATAATGCCATGAGTCACCTCATTAAGGACAAACTGACTCCTATATGTTATGAAATATAAGGAAATAACAATATGATACATAATTAAAAATATATTTAAATAAAAAAAATACTAAAATTAAATATAAAAAATATATTCATCTAATTTAAAATATTAAATAAAAAAATAAAAAACAAATATATTTTTTTAGTTTTTAAAACTTATTTTTTAAAACAAATCTTTTCAAGTACAATTTTTTTTTTATTTTCTCACCTTAAAATCAGTTTTGAAAATTAAAATACCAAATAAATTTTACTTTATTTTCTTCTTTAAATAATTTTATAAAACTATTTTAAAATATTATTTTTAAAAACTATAAATCAAACAAGCTCTAAAACTAATTTGTAGATAACTTAAGATTTTTTAAGTGTAAATTTTGCTACCGAATCATTCTATAGCTATTCCGTAGCTACACTAAGAATATTTTGTAGCTAACTTTTGCTATGAAAACTTTTTGTAGTTAATCCATAGCTAAATTAAGAAATTTTTAGCTACGCAAACGCTTGTAGTTAATCCGTAGCTAATTTCAAGCAAATTTTTCCTGCCATATGGCGCCATTTATTCCTACCATAAGTTTATTTTGCTACAAAAAATTTATGTAGCTAATTTTTAGCTACATTAAAAAAATTTTAGCTACGCAAAAGTATGTAGCTAATTCGTAGCTAATCCCAAGCAAAATTTTTCCGTCATAAAGCACCACTTATTCCCACTATAAGTTTATTTTGTTACAAAAAATTTATGTAGCTAATCCGTAGCTACATTAAAAAATTTTTAGCTACCCAAAAGTATGTAGCTAATTCATAGCTAATTCCAAGTAAATTTTTCCTGCCATATAGCGCCACTTATTCCTACCATAAGTTTATTTTGTTACCAAAAATTTTTGTAGCTAATCCATAACTAATCCCAAGCAAATTTTTCCCACCATAAGGCGCCACTTATTCCCATCATAAGTTAATTTTGCTATAAAAAAATTTTTGTAGCTAATTCGTAGTAAAATTAATAATTTAGCTACGCAAAAGTTTGTAACTAATTCATAGCTAATACGAAGCAAATTTTTCCCGCCATATGGCTCTACTTATTCCCACTATAAGTTTATTTTGCTACGAAAAATTTTTGTAACTAATTCGTAGCTAAATTAAAAAAATTTTAGCTACACAAAAGTCTGTAACTAATTCGTAGTTAATTTCAAGCAAATTTTTCCTGCCATATGACGTCATTTATTCCTACCATAAGTTAATTTTATTACAAAATTTTTTTCTAGTTAATTCGTAGCTAATTTATAGCTAAATCTTAACAAAAAAAAATATAATTATGCAATGGAAGGAGAGGAAGAGGGAGAGTGGGGTGGGGGTGTGAGAATGGAAAATGAAAGGAGGAGGGAATGAGAGTGTAGAGTGGTGGAAGAGGAAAGGGGGAGGGAGAGGGGAGAAGGAGAGAGAAGGGTTACGGGAAAGAGGAAAGGGAAGGGTAGAGGACCATTTTACAAATACCAAAATTGATTTTAACTTTTTAATTTTTTAGAAAGTAAATCTTAACAAAAAAATAAAATAAAATATATAAAGATTTATCATATAATGTTCTGTATTTATAAGAATAAAAAATATAATTAAGTTTTTTTTTTTAATGTTATCAATATCATAAATTTGTGATGTGTGTTATTATTTATAAGAATTAATTTGATATAATTATGCTTGTTTTGTTTTGTGAAAATGTTTTTTTTTTTGCTAATAGTGAAAATGTAATTTTAAGAGGATATGATAAATATTTATAATATTTTAAATATTTTTGTTAACTTTCATTAATTTGTATAAATATTTTTTATGTAAATGAAATAAAATTTAATTATTTTTATTTTTCTTTAGTATTATTTCTCCACTTTGAAAATATGTTTAGAAAGATATTTTAAATTATTATTATTTGACGTGGAGTCAATTCTAGAATTAGGTTAACCATCTTAAATTCACCTTAACAGCTTGCAATTGGTTATGAATTCCGTCACACGATTTGAGTCATGTATGTAGCCAGAATATTGGATGGAGAACCAGAAGATATGTTTGCAAAATAATGATTTGAAAGTTTAGGCGATTGTGTTCTCAAAAGATAATTTTTCACTCTCAAGTTTATGAATATAATACTCAGGCAAACATAAACTGGTTGAGATTACCTCGTTCAAATTTCAATGCAATAACGAAGCTTATTTTGTTGAAGTTCAAATACGTTTCCAGTCTTCATCAATATAATGATTTTTGTTTTTGTTTCTTGTCATTAATTTTCTATTAGATAACTATTGACTTGATCAATAGATAATTTTTAAGCAAAACTACGTCCACCAACTCGTTATACATGTTAAAAAAACTATTATACAAACATTTTAAATTAGTATTTTTATCATTGAGCTACATAAAAGATAATTTTTCTATCTCTTTCCAAATTAACTAATTTTTTTACTTTTTTTCTAAATATATATACGTGTTTAAACATAATTAGATACATATCAACTAACTTAACAATTATCTAACGACACTAAGGATTAAAAATAAAAAGTAACAATAAAAACATAGAAATTAATTTTAATACACTATAAATATAATTTTTTTTAATTCTATCAACAAACAAAAATACACCATAAATATGTCTTTTAACTTATCATGATTAAAGTTAATAATGTTTATATAATAATTTATATTAAATGATGATAGTATAAAAAATTATAATACCAGTACACAAATATATTGAAGTATTTCATAAAATAATAGCCAATAAAGTTACCATTGCCTAACATTTTTCTCATAAGCACGAAATATTTATTTCTTTTATATCAGAAGTAGGCCAGACAATCGATTATAAAATGATTATTGAAACCGAAAAAAGGATAATTACCTTAGTTATTTTCACATGCAATTCAAACAACGCACATTGTTTTCAATACATTTTGGTACTTTTGAAAGTAGAATTTTCCCATCAAATTAAATATACCTTCCTGTTATCCTAACCTTCAAACCATCCTTCATAAGGAGAACAATTGAAGAACTAGGAGTAGCAAGATGACCTTCTACCACTTGAACTCGATAATTGAGCAAAATAGCAGTGGCCACCATCTTCAACTGAATGAAGGACACGTCTTTGCCCAAACAAGTTCTGGGTCCTGCGTTAAAAGCAATGAATTTGTAAGATGGTGCATAAACAACGCCTCCTCTCTTTGAGATCCATCTTTCTGGCTTGAACTCAAAACAATCCTTTCCCCATACATCTTCTAATCTCCCCATTGCATACAAAGATAACAATATCATTGTATTGGGATTGACACTGTGTCCACTAGGAAGTGTATCAGCTTTTATTGCTTGCTTGCGCTCAAAAGGTATTGGAGGAAAAAGCCTCAATGCTTCACATATAGCACCATGAAGATAAACTTGCTTTTTCACCTTCTCCACGCTTATATCCCCTACCTTCTTTTCATTACCACCAAAGATATCCTTGATCTCTTCAAGAATCTTGGATTCCACTAATGGGTTTGTAGCAACAAGCCAAAAGAACCATGTGAGAGCTGAAGTTATGGTATCTCTTCCTGCTACAAAAATATTGAACACAGCATCCCTTAAAAACTTGTCATCATGTGCTCGTCCCTTTTGTTCTTTCATCAAAGATGTAAGGAAGTCAACATGATCAGCTTCATTATTTTCATTGGAGGACTTGCATAGCTCTTCTCGCTTTGATGCCACACATGCATACAAGAATTGATCAAAGGTTTTACATGCCTCTGTCATCTTCTTCTCTGCACCAATTTGAAACCATTTCATTAACTTCCAAACACTTCTTGGCACCACGTGTCGGTAGAATATGGACTCTTCTATTTGGGTAAAAGCCTTCTCGATTGCAACTTCAGGGAAATCAATAGAAAGACAATTAGGATCATATCCTAAAACTATGTAGCATATGTTATCGAAAGTGAACCTATTGAAAACATCTTGTAAATCCACCACCTTCCCTTGTTGTTGTGCATGATCCAATATTGGAAGAAGGCTTTCATGCATCTTTCTCTGAATGGTTTTCCCGATAAACACCTCGAAGGTTCTTTGTTTAAACAAAGAATGGAACAGAGACCTACTGTATTTCCATCCCTCTGAATCAGCAGCGAATATCCCATCTCCAAAAGCATCAAAAATCTCACGAAACTCAGTACCCTTAACGTAGTTGTCGAAACACTTGCTCATCATGTGGTGCACGTTGATGGGGTCAATAGTGACGACATAGTTCATGTTGGTAAACCAAGGTCCATTGAACTCCCCCGTGCCCCCATTTCGTTTCATTATCTCAGTGAAACAATCATGCGCTCGCCACACATTCAAAAGAACTGTTGGTAGCATGCCAAGGATAGGATAGTCTACTAAAACAGGATGTTTGCAACATCGTCTCCTATAGAAGAAATAAAGGAAGCACAAAAGTGGGGCGATTATGGAGGCTGCATATACTAGCATTACCATAATAAATCAACAGTAGCTTTTTTAGTTGAATATATGAATAAGAGATGCTTTCTAAATGTGGATAATCATCTACTAATATACAGGAAACTGTTACGTAACAATTACACCTCGAGAGGGAGATAGGAGTAGAGAAGAGAAAAACTACAAATGCTGCTAGAGATATGATGCAAACTGAAGGAGAAGTTTTTATGATCTTGACTGGTCGGATCACATAGTTTTAGAACATTCATAAACAGCATTGTAAGTAACTAAATTATATAAATATAATATATATTTTATTTTTATCTCATTTATTAGATCACATATTATATAAATAAATGTTATATTAAATTTTGTAATTTTATTATGTGAATAAAACTTTTCTGCTAAGGTAGCGTGAAATGAGATACGACTTTGAAGAAAAGGTTCACGTGATTGCTGTGCTTAAAACAGGAAAGCAACATCCGTATCTTTAGATGAGGTACGGGTGTTTGCTTGCCACAGGCTTAATTTCTTTTAAGAAACATTTTCCGTGAATTATGCAGTATTATTGAAATTAATTAATTTTTAAATTTTAATTTTAAATGCTAGTTCATAACCACACTCTTGACTAATTTAGCCATTGTTGTTATAGGGGTTAAGATTGAGTAATTAAATGTAGTTTATAATGTAAAATAACACATTGACTTTTTTTGAACAACCAACAACATTGTTTTAAGATTTTTAAAAAATTGTTTTTGACTTTTAAAATTTTTAGATAATCAATTTTTTTTTCCTAACAATTCAGCCAAATCTCTTTCAAACTGATTTGGCCTGTAATAGAACTCTGCCAAACGTGTCTTTTAAGTTACTCTTCTGACGTATAATGTTACACCTAAGTCAACTTTTATTAAATACATTAATTTATGATGTCTATCTTCTTTTTCTTCTTCATCTATCTATATATATTTAAATTTATTTTATAATGCTCTAATATTTTAATTAAGTTAAAAATATTTAATTTTTGAAATATAATTAATTTTAAAAATTTATATATTATCCATTGAACTATTTTTGTTGCATTTAATTTAAAATGTTTAAACATGCAATTAAATTTAAAAAATGATCTATTATAAAATTAATTGTAATTTTAAAAGTTTATTTTTAAAATATTGAAGTTAAAATTATATATTTCATATTCTACCTCATTTATATCTTACTTTGATAATTATGGGCAATGCTCGAAGGTGGCATGACAAAGAAGGTCCAAGTGATGATGGGCAGTACGCACTTCAACCAATTAGTCTGTAATTACGGTCACATGAGTCTTGGTTTTTATAATAAAAGCAGATTGATATTTAAAATTAAATTATTAATTTAGTTTGTATGATAAACATGAGGTTATATATATATAATCTTTCAATTTGTCAAATATTTTAGTTTTTGTGTCTCGATTAATTATAAGAAATAAATAAGGATTAATTGATATTTAAATACAATAAACAAATATAATATGAATTAAGTCACATTAGAGGCTCATCACAAGAAATATTTCTTCAATAGTTGAATGGATGTGCGGAAGGGTTCTAATAACAAAGATTTGAAGGGTGGTGGGAGTGGATATTAATTTGGACGCACGTGAATTTAATAGAGCCGAAATGGATCATCTCATTTCAAATCAATCAAAATCAAATGAATGGCAATGGAGTTGGCACAATAATGAGACTTGTTTGGCTCCAGATTTTCTTCAATTTGTACCGAGATAAAATGTTGAGTTTAAATTTTACTTAAATAAAATTCTACTCGCTTGAGTAAACATTAAAAAAATAATAAAAAATTTTACACAAAATTAATTTAAGCAAATTTTATGATTTAAATGAATTTTATGTCTTATTTTTTTAATTTTTGACTTTTTTTTTCTCTTTTTTATGCTTAATTTTTTTAAATATTTATATTTAACTCTTTTCATTTTTTTTTTATATTTAACTTTTCTCTTTCTCTCTCGACTCCTTTTGTTTTATTAGAATGAATGTCTCTTATTATTAAGTTCTAATTATATAAAATGTTATTATTATGCATGTAAAACATTTAAAATTTATTCACATAACATAAACCGATCTAGCCATAATATTTAGTAGATAATTTATGTCTTTTAATGTTAGCACACAATTTTTAAAATATCATTTGGGACCAATCTCATTTATAAATTGAAAATCATGAAAAAGAACATTCTTCTCATCGGATATGGAGAAATGAGGAAAATGTGAGTATAAGGGTAGAAAGAAGAAGAGGAAAGTTGAGTATAGGATGAAAGTGAGGTGAGAGTAAGGGAAGAAGGAATTGAGAGAGGGAGAGAAAAGTTAAATATGAAAGGAAAATAAGAAGAGTTGAATATAAATGTTGGAGAAGAAGTATTAAGCATTAAGAAAAAGAGGTATGACAGAAAATTAAAGAAAGAAGATGCAAAATTCACCTAAACAATAAAATCTTAAGCCAATTTTGTAAAAAATTACTTAAGTTAAAAAAATTTATTTAAGTAAATTTTGTATAAATTTTTTTTTTGTTTTTTTTTCAATTTTTGCTTAAATAAGTAAAATTTCACTTAAGCAAAAGTTAGATTAAACACCCTATTCTCACGCAAACTGAAGAGAATTTGAATTCGACTTGCTCCACCTCAAAATTTTAAATCTCACTCCGAGTGATGTTATTAGTTAAGATTCTCTTAATGGTTAAGAACAATCACAAAAATCACCTATTAGATACAAAAGGATATTTTTAGATATCAATAATTGTCTAATCATGCTAAAATAATAAGATTTTGAAGATATAAGGAAAAGAAAAAAAAGAGATATGAGAGAAAAGAGAAAATGGATAACACATACTTTTTTTTAATAGTTAATATTTTTAATGGCAAATGATTTATTTAAATTACTTTTAAAAATTTTAAAATTAAAATAAAAAAAATTAAAGAACAAAATCAAAATTTATCTTTAACAGTAAATAACAAAAGTACTAATTATAAATATAGTTTTTGTTATTTATGTAATTTTTTTTTATCTTATTAACATTTTTTCAATTTAAGTTTAAAAAAAATTAAAGATTTTAAATGAAAGTTATTTATATTATTCAAAAATATAATCTATATGATTTATTTTTAAAAATTATATCATTTTAATAAAAATAATTATAATTAGGAGATCAAATTAGTTTATAATTTTTTTTTCTAAAGGATAGCAAAGAAACAAATAAAAAAAAATTACAATCTTAAATATGATGTTTTTTTATTATTTGGCTAGAGAAGTAATCTCCAACGTAAGAAGTGAGATTCAATTTTGAAACTACATTGACTCTTAACTTAATTAAAAAATATGTTCTTCTTATCTTGTGTTTGACAGTAATTTGTTACTTTTTTTCTTAGTTACTTTTTCATATTTCAAAAATGATTAGCATACTCGTAAAAAGTTGAACAACTTTTGTTACAAATTTTATGACTTTGGTATAGCATATTATCACAAAAGATGTCTAATTTTTAGATTCTAACATTACTATAAATTCAGTATGAATATTGTCGGAAATGTCAACATAAGCTCTTCCAAGCCAAATTTTTTATCTATATTAATAATAAAAGTACCAAAACCAGAATCAAGCTCTTCTCCAACCACTCAAATCTACAATAAAAATGAATTTAAAATTCTAATCAGCCTCCTAACAAACTCAATACTCCAAACGAGCTTAAGATTATTGCACTTATTCACATAAATAAAACTAATTAATAAAGTTCATAATATCAAGCATAGTTCTAATAATTCTAATAATTTATGAATTTTTTAGTTAAAAATTACATGCGATTTAAGTAGAAAAATGTTATTTCATGAATAATTTTAATAAGAATTTTTTTTCACTTAATAACTCTCGTATAAATTGAGGTTTATCAATCTAATAATTCTTTACAAATATTAAATTTTATTAATATAACTATTAAATTAAAAGTTTATATATATATATATATATATATAATTTTAAAAAATCATACAAATCAAAAACTAATTGACAATTCTATTTTAACGTGTAACATGTTTATACAAACTATATATTAATGCTAATTATAAATTACTTATTTATTTATTAACATTTAATTTATTTAAAACTTGATAAATATGAGCATATTATATTCGATTCAATAAAATTTAATATAGTTTTTAATAATTATTAAGTAGCAGATTAAATTTATAAAATTCTAGAAATATCTTAAACATTGTCCTAATTATTTTATTTTCAAGTTAAAAAGAAAAAAAAGAGGATCTGATCCGGTGATTACATTAAATGTGAACGAACTTTATTTTATATCATGCTTAAATTTAACACTTATTTAAAAATTAATAAATGTTAGTAATTTTTTAAAATGTCTTTTAAATATATATTTTTATTTTATTTACAAATATTTATATTATGTGTAAAAATATTGCTAATTTAAATAGGTTGTTTGATAATAATATTAATAATAATAGAAAAACTATGGTCAACAAATATGTCATTATTCAGAATGTCAACAAATATGTAAATAATACAAAAAAAATAATAAAAATATACCAACAAACATATTAGTTTAACTTTATTGTAATCATTATTCAGAATCTTTTCAATTATCATGAAGTACGTATAATATTATTAAAACATTATTAAAACAAAATTTAATTAATTAAAATATTTTAAAATTAATGCTTCATATTTTTATAGTAACCGGTTATCATTATTAACCCCTTTTCCCTTCTTTTAGTTTTGTATTTTAAATATTTATTTTTTATTGCAGTATGAAATTTGAACAAACATTTATATTTGTATTTTAAAAAACTTCTTATTTTATCTCTTTTTTCTAACATAGTAATAGAATTTTATTTTATTTTTGTATAAATTAAGACACCATACTTAATACTAGGAAGAATGCAAGCTAGAAAAAGATAATTAAAGTGAAAGACATAGTAATTACAGGTTATTAATGAGCTAAGAGAGTAGATAGATAAAATGGAGTCTTATACATTAGTAAAATTATATTTGATAAATTTTTACTATAAGATTGTTATAAAAAGAGTAGAGTTATCGACACTAGTATTTAAATAATGAGGTCCGTAGTCCTTAGCAAGCACGAGTGAAAATAAAACAAAGTGCAGTGTAGCTGTGTAGGTGAGTTAATTATTTATATCAGTACAAATATTGAAACCTCTCATTACATTCACATTTACATTAACATTTACATCGTTCCACTATCACTATCAGAATTAAAGGAGAGAGGCCCCTCATTAAAACGACGTCGATTAGTAATAGCATATGGGGCCATGTGACAGGCTATGTCTTGCTGTGTTCTTCTGGGTCCTCTTTAATTTTCATAGCCATCGGCACCCTCTTCAATCATTAACTGCATTGTTCACCAATTCATAGTCGAAGAACACAAACTACTTCATCAAATATCTCACAGAAAAGTCGCCTTTGAAATCATGATTATTGTCTCATTTCAGTTTAATGTTACAAGTTTTTATGGATGTTTCTGCTACTTTGTTTCACAAATTTGGTTGATGGGTTGCTGTCGTTTTTTCTCTAAAAGTCAGCTCATATTAAGATATTTTTAATTTTTTAAATTATTTTATTATTTTTTCTTATTTAAATTTTGTTAATTTTAGTTTTTACATTCAATAAAAGTAATACGTCTTTAGTTGGCCAATAATTTAAAATGAGCAATATTTGTAACATTTTAAGATAAAAAGGAAATGAAAATATATTTTAAACTTGATATCAAATAATTTGAGTTTGAGAATAATATGTTTGTATATGTTTAAGCTTGAACGTAATTTTGTAAGTTTGTTGTAGTGATCTAGTCTGGCAAATAAGTTAATGCCCATTATATTTCTTCTTGTTTTCGAATATTTTTCTCCCAAAATCTCATTATTATTTAATTACCCATAAGAACAAAGATAAAACTACAAATGCTGTGTATTTTGTAATTGTAATTTGTTTCCAAACATATCTCAAATTTATATGATATAATGAAAAGATACAAAATAAAGGGAAACATAATCATGATTTGTGGTTTTAATTTGCATTTAAAATAGAGTAAAACGTAATGGTACTGAATCAACTTAATTCTATTCAACATTTTTGCTTTTCTTTCTTTCTTAATCTATAAGAATGAGATAAATCAACTTATTAATAATTATTTTTAAATCTCCTTGTCTTATGTTTTTATCAAACAAGAAAATAAATAAAATATATTCCATTTTATTATAAAATATTTAAATACTTATATATTCCACCTCATGCTTATTAATCCTATTCCATCAATACTATATATACAATTAAACTCTTCAAATTGTTAATGTATAGAGGTGAAAGATCCGGTTCTTAAAAATACACATACACTTACCGAATTTTGTTTTAAAGGAAACTAATTAATAAATCCAAAATAAGATCATTCTACCCAAATATTAAACATAAAATTTCGATACCGACTATTTATTAGGAATTTCTACTTAAATGCTTTTAGGTATTTAAAATATATAAAAAATTATTCAAATTTATAAATACCCAATTTTTAATTTCTTAATAAACATCTTAAGATCATTTTTTAACTTCTTTACTATGATGAGAAATAATAAAAATAATAAAACTTAGGTATTTTTTAAAATATTTTTCACACTGTTTTTAAATTAAAATTTTACCTCATAACATGCAATAACTTGAAGGCTGTGTAAAAAATGGAGTGAAATAAAGTTGATTTAAATATAATATGAAGTGGAGCAGGATAAACAATAATAGAGTATGTTTGAATATATTATGATATTGAAGGACTTAAAGGATGATAACATGAAAGTTAGATAATAAAACGACTGAAAACGTGAGGTGAAGATTTTATGAATGTGAAGGATATACTAGTAATTTAATAGTTATCAAAATAAAATTAATTTATATTCAATTGCATATTTCCTTATGTGCCTCCTAAATTGGAAGAATAAAAGTGAAGGTTTAGAATGAGAAGATATAGAATTCATTCTATTAAATTCTTCTTTATTTTATTAATATTTGATCAATTTAAATAATAAAATCATTTAAAATACCAGTCCATTTTTATCATTCACAACCGATTCAAACATAGTTTACATATCAATATTTTATTTGGTGAAATTAATATTTTAATTAAAAAAAAAGAGTAAAAATCTTTAAAAAAATTGTATTTAAGTTTTGTTGTATTTAAAAATACAACTATGAAATGTATACAGGTGATAAATATACATACACATGCATATGAGGGTGCGAGAGAGATACTATATATATATATATATATATATATATATATATATATATATAATTATACAAATAAGTTATTAACCACATTATACTTTATTTAAATGTAGGTACGTACGTACATATATTGATTGATGATTTCATACTTAACATGATAACTAATCTCATTTGATAGTATCTCCTCAAAGAAACCAACTGCAAACATTATATTATCATGCCAATGCAACATTATTTAGCTATCTAATAGAAACAGATAAACAGAATAAATTGCAAAGCCTAATTCTAACGATGAAACTCACATCAAATTCCCTTTTTGGTTATCCTAACCTTGAGACCATGCTTCATTAGAAGTACAATTGAATGGCTTGGGATGATAGGATTAGCTTCCACCACATGGATACGATAGTTGCACAAAATAGCAGTTATCACCATTTTTATTTGAATGAAGGATAATTCTTTGCCCAAACAGGTCCTGGGTCCAGCATTAAAACTAACGAATTTGTAAGATGGTGCATAAACAATGCCTCCTCTTTCAGATATCCATCTTTCTGGCTTGAACTCCGAACAATCTTTTCCCCATACATCTTCAAATCTCCCCATTGCATACAAAGAAAACAAGATCATTGTATTGGGATTAATACTGTGTCCACTTGGAAGTATATCAGCCTTTATTGATTGCTTGCGCTCAAAAGGAATAGGAGGAAAAAGCCTCAACGCTTCACATATAGCACCATGAAGATAAACTAGCTTTTTCACATCTTCCACACCAAAACCCCCTGATTTCTCTTCCTTGTCACCAAACTTATCTTTGATCTCTTCAAGAATCTTGGATTCCACTAATGGGTGTGTAGCAACAAGCCAAAAGAACCAAGTAAGAGCTGAAGTTATGGTATCTCTCCCAGCTACAAAAAGATTAAATGCCGAATCTCTTAGGAACTTGTCATCAAGTGCATGTCCCTTTTCTTCTCTCATCAAAGCTGTTAGCAAGTCAACTTGAGCCTCAGCCATTTCATTTTTGGTGCATTTGCTTAGCACTTGGCGTTTAGATGCTATACATGCATATAAGAATTGGTCAAACGTTTTGCATGCTTTTGTCAATTTCTTTTCTTGACCAATTTGAAGCCACTTTTGTAACTTCCAAACAGTGGTTGGCACTACGTGTCTATAGAATATGCACTCTTCAGCTTCGTTAAAGGCTTTCTCACATGCAACTTCAGGAAAGTCAATGGAAAGACAATTAGGATCATACCCTAAAACTATGGAGCATATGTTATCAAATGTGAAGCGGTTGAAGACATCTTGTAAATCCACCACAATCCCTTGTTGGTGTACATGATCCAGTATTGGAAGTAGGTTGTTTTGCACCTTCTTTTGAATGGTTTTCTCTAGAAACACCTCAAAGCTTCTCTGTTTAAACAAAGAATGGAACAAAGACCTGTTGTATTTCCATGTCTCTGAATCAGCAGTGAATATGCCATCTCCAAAAGCTTGAAAAATTTCACGAAACTCATGCCCTTTTATGTAGTTATCGAAACTCTTGCTCATTATGTGGTGCACATTGGTGGGGTCACTAGTGACCAAATAGTTCATGTTGGTGAACCAAGGTCCTAGGAACTCTCCAGTGCCACCTTGTGGTTTCAATGCCTCGGTTATGAAATCGTGTATTTGTGACAAATTACATAGGACTTGTGGTAACATACCGAGGAAAGGCCAATTTGTTAAGGGGGAGTTGTTGCGGCGACGTCTCTGACAAAGATATAGGAAGCTGAAGAGTGCTACAAGTGTTGTTGAATAGCCAAACATGAACATTGTGAACCCGTGAGAGGTTTGCACGTAGCTAGCTAGATATGTCTTAGATCACTTTAGATGTGGATATTATGTGTCGCCTTGAGTGTATATGTTGTAGTAGGATATTCAACCCCCCCTTCCTTAAATGCTTAATAATTATATTTCTTTTGTACCTGCTTTTTATTTCTTTGTTTTTTCTCGTCATATTACACCCTTAGTCTAGTGATGGAGCTTATATTATAATGTGTTCAATTCTTAAAATTTTTTGTCTTTCTTTTTACTTTTCTCCCTGACTAATTTTTTAATGATTATATTTAGTAAAAATAATTGGTATGTATTCTTTTTTTAGAATTTAAAGAGAAATTTTAAAAAATTTAATAGATAAAAGTACACTTAAGCCAAATTCAGGCCCAAAGATATTAGACGCTGCTAGGCCTCCTCATTCAGTCATTCTTTTATTGGGCCCATAGAGGTTATTTTGCCTCTTTGAACACCAGATGAACAACCCTTTTTACCAACAAAAAAGCAAAATGGCGATGCCTGCATTTATTGTAATCCTATTAAGCCTATATGCATATATGACGTAGATCAAAAACTACTTATTGGGCTAGTGTTTAAAGTGATGCTCGTAACCCCTTATTTACTATATGTAGTAATTTGCTTTATGATAAAAAAGAAGAAGTAATGTTATTTTAACACTGCGTATTTATACGAGAAATTTTATATAATTATATAATTATTTTTTAATTTGTATAAAATGTCTAATATAAACACTCAAATCAGATGTTAAAATAGCATCAGGGTCTTAAAAAATGATTTTAACACTCTTAAAAGTAAACGTAAGACACATTTACCTTCCTTTCACGTATAATCTTCAATCAATTTTAAAATTTTCTTTAACTCATCAATAATTTATAGGATATGGTCCGGTTGAAAATAAAAATAACTGATAGATCTTTAATCAAATCATATAATAAGTCGTTGCAGGATAAAATAATGTCTTTCTCTATAATAAATAAGAAATTGAATATAACCGTCCAATTCCATTTACCAGATTACAAATAAGATTTACCCGGAATAAATGAATAGACATCTTAGACATCATAGGCAAACAATGAAGATAAAACAAGGAACAGAGACGTAGTGGATTCAGTATCACCAGGAAGATTGGCCTTAGTGGTATAATGTTACAAAGAAAATGTTCTCCCAATCCCAAGAACAAAGACAACACGCAAATGTAAGAAAAAGACATCACACAAAGCAACCATTTTTTCTAAGAAGAGAGTGGCAATGCATGAAGTTGTAGACCAGAAAAATAAATATTATTAATGATATTATTGGCCACATACTTTTATAACATTTTTTTAAAAATTCTATGAAACAAGAACCTCTTGAGAAATTGAAAATTCTTAATTTATTAGAATAAGGTTGCCTAGACCAAAGATCAACGATAGAGAAGCGTTTATCATAATAAAAATTAATATGCAAGAATTTCCTTTTCCCATTTTGCCCCATTTTTCAGCTCATCACGTTATATATTTATAAATCATTTGCACACCCATCCCCATCTTCAATTTTTTTTTCTTTTTTAGGAATATCTCCATCTTCCATTTTGATTTGGAATCTTTGCTTTTATTACAAAGTTGTTGATTTTCTGTATTATCTTTTTTGTATAAAACAAGAGGCATCGCCATCTTCAACTCACTTTTCTTCTATTATTGCTTGAAAATAATGAGAAACATTACTTTATTTTCTGTCCAGCATGTTTAAACAGTTTCCAGACGTTGAAAATGTATCACTAAACAGGAATTTTCATTGTCCTTATGCATTGATTTCTCCCCCAAATATTCCCTCGTTGATGATTCTTTCCTATCTGTTGCCTCCTATAAATCATGTAAATACACAAACTATCTATCAATAGGTAAAAATGATGTGTATCAAAGATTTTCGTGTCTCCACCTTTTAATTTTATCATTATCTAACTTAAATAGAGGGAAAGCATTTCGTAGGTACTTAAAATGGCCGACTTGTTAGCGAATCTTGAAGTTACGTAAATGAAACAAATTTTATCATTCGCTTTTATTCCTTATTTTAGTTAATGATATATATCCGTGCCAACTTTATGAACTTGGCAGTGATGCTTGCGAAGGGAAAATATATATTTATAATTTGCGATAATTATTATGAGCTATATGTATTGGATTGTCGTATTTGCACATTGTTATTATTTAAAATGATGAACTGTGGCATGATTAATATCTGGTCTTGAAGGTCAAGTTAATCCTTCATTATAGTATACCCTTAATTTTTGTCTGCCAACTTGTGGTGGCAGTTGTTGTTGTTAAAGCACGAGTAGTGTTCTATATGAAGCTTTCTGTAGCTTAAAATTGACAAACTTGTGTATGGAGCACAACCTTCAATATATGTATATGCTTTGGTCACCTCACCGCCCTTCTATATTATAATACAACAAAGTAGAGTGAACTTGTCCATAATCCTACGTTGTAGGTCTTTTTCCATTCCCATGTTAGGTTTATGCAGCAAATAGGAGTATTTAAGATGGGATGCTTACGGCCCACATTTATTCCTTTCTAGGTTTTCTTCTGTCCACTCAAATTTGCGTAGATAGAAAGCAACTTCTAGCTTAGCTTTGGACACCATTGCACAAAACAACATTGTTAAGAATATCTCTCCCAAATATTCATGTGCCCCTCATAATATTAATTTATTGATTAATTTTACTGGCAGGTAATTACATGTTAATTACTTTTTAATTAGGAAGTTGTAGATATATAGGAACCTCTCTATACAGTTATGTGCTTTTCTTTTATCAATCCCCCTCCCTATTGTGTTTGTGTGTGAATAATTGAATATGGTTCAAAATTAAATCATCAGATCACAGAAGTGGTTGTATAAATAGTTAAAACTAAAAATAAAAATTATATAAGTATAGATTATTTTTAATTTTGATTATTTATGTACAATTATAAAGTTTTTTTATTCTTAAATGAAAATAGTTTTTTAATTAAAGTCTAGTTTTCCAATGTGTAAGGATTAATCAACCTATACATTACAAAACTAGCAACCATGAAGATTTCAAACCAAATTAAAAATATTAAATAGGTAAAACCGTACCATATATACAAGCATGGCATTGGTAAGACAATCAAATGAGAGATCAAAGTTCTAAATTGTGACTGATAATTGTGGTTGGATATTATGTGACCAGAAATGGCCATTGTGTGAGTCGCAATGTCAATATATCTCTTACTATTGCAATTTACATGTTGTGGTGTAGTTTGCATCAATCACTTTAAAAGATATATATTGAGCTAATGATGTTATTTACTCGGGTCTCATTTTAGATATTATTATTATTATTATTATTTTAAATTATTTGTTGCTATAAAATATTACTTATTTTTTATAAATGTTCTTTTTTAATTATAATTTTTACTTACTAACTACTAAAATAAATTTCTACAATCTTATGAATAGTTTTGTTAATAGATTATTATAATATTTTTATCATTTTTAATAATAATATTTCAATAAAATTAATTTAATTTATTATAATAATGATAATAATAAAACTATTTTTTAGAAATATATGTATTAATACTAAACTACATCTAAAATAATATAAAATAGTGGGAATAACATTGTAATTATCAAACCAAAAAATTGAATCATAATTGATATAAAATCATTATTAATATATTAAAAGAGACATTACGGGAAAATATTAATAAAGTGAAATCATAAAGATGAAAAACGATTTCCACTTACTTGATAGATCACCCTATCATGGTAAAGAAGCCCCCTCACAGCATGCCATAGCCATAGATTCGCAGGATAATGCCATGTTAAAGTGAGAAAATATAGCTGAGCCCATACTAAAATTAGATTTTGAATCGGTATAATGTATAGATTTATAATATACTTATGATATTTTTAGTGAAATAAATTAAATTTTAAAAAAGAGAGAAATATCATGTAATATTTATAGTAGAAGAAATTTAGTAATATATATAAATTATAACTTCTACCGTAAAGATAAATATTTGATTCTATAAATTATTAATCAGATATACTATCCTTACATTACACAAGTTTGTGCAAATATTTAGAAAATAATATAATTTAAAATATTTATAGAATTAAATTTTTATTGTTATAATTTATTTTAAATTATAATTTTAATATAATATCTATATTTTTCATAAAAATCAATAATGTAAATTGTTAATTTATTAGTAGTATTATTTATAGTTAAAAATGTATATAAATGTATATTGAGGATGTTCATTAAATATTTTATTGTAAAATAAATTTTGAATATAATCCGTGTAATGTTAGTTGTGCATGATAAATTATAAGAAATATTATTAGTTATTTTATCAATAATATTTGATTTTTGTAATATTTTGTTGATCCTTCATTTATGTCAATGATGTAACTATTAATCTTATTAACAATGTCATTTATAATAAAGTGAACTAATTAAATTGGTATTCTTCTTAGATATTTTTTAATTTGCTTTTACATATATGTGATACAATATTGTTTGACTATGTTATGCATTCGTTTAAGTATATATTAATTAATATTTCTCATCTACATTAGAATGCTTTTTTTTCCTTTTGATCATCTGTATTTTTTTCATCACCAACATCTCAGATATTAAATTTATATATAAAAAACTATACTTCTGCAAAGAGTTATTAGTTACTTATGATTTTGTTTAGAAAGGGTATCCTCTGTATACTCTTATTATTTTATTTGGCTTATAAAAAAAAATTGTCATCTAGCCGGTTAGAACAAGTGTTTGGTGATACTTTGAACCTGTTAATTTTTATTTTTGGATACTGATGAAAAGGAGATACTTTGATTTTATATCTACAAAACAAAATTACCATACCATGAAGAAATTATTTGATATTTTGTATTTTGTCTTTTGTGGTGAAAATTTCAACTTTACCACTTCATCCACATCAACAAATGGGCAAATATAGTGTTCTTTATTACATTATTCTGCTATTTTCCTTTTCTTTTATGAATAATAGAATAAGAAAGTTACACAATTGAAGACACATTTCTGTAACTTATTTTCCCAAACAAGAGGTCTTTTTTTCCTCCAATCAAGATGCAAGGATTGGAGCATAAGATGTCTTTCTTTTTCCAAACAAGATGTAAGGGTACGTGAAAGAAAATGGTGGAAAAAGCAACTCCCCAATAAATTATTGTTGATTTTGGCTTGGCCTTGAATATCTGGATTTGGAGTTTTGCATTTGGACTAACACGATTTAAGTTGATCATGCATTAAAGGAGTACTTGACTAAAAAGATAAGCTGAAAATGGTATTTCCAACCTTATAAAGCTTATAATATTTTCCAATTTCTCTATTGTGAGACTTTCACTTACTCCAATAATTTTCGTAAGGTTATTGATCTAATTTTGATAAACTTTATGCAATTAAGACCAACATCAGTAATATATTTTCTAATATATTTTTTATTAATAATTAAAATAAAAATTATTTTTACTAATATTCTTTATAATTTTTTTTTGTAATTGAGAAGAAAATGAGAAAAAAAAAATAGAACTGCCTTACAAGATAATTAAAAAATGGTATACTAACGTATTGTTAAAATATAATAATTTACTAAGATTTGTTAAATTTCACATAATCATACACATGTTTGAGAGATACGTTAAGAGTGAAACTCATTTATAAGTAAAAAAAAAGAAGTCATTTACTAATAAACTTGAAAGAATATTTTATATTCTTTTTAAATTAATAACTAAAATAAATATATTTATATTAGTAATTGTTAAAGTGTCTTAAAAATTTAAAAATATTTATATTTTTTAAAATAGACTAATAACTATCATAATCTATTATACATATTTAATATAATATATAAATTTAAAATGTATAAAATGTTCTCTTAATCTTCCAAATACCATAGAAATTTCTATAATATTTTTCATATAATACATTTTTAATACAACATACTACAAGTTGTAAATATATAAGATTATCAGTAATAGTGAAACACATCAGTCAAGCAACTGTTTGCTTCTGCATGTAACTGTCTTTAACGATGAAGCTTCTTTTTTGTTTTATTTTTATTTTTTGCAACGTTGTGTAACTATATAAGAGAGGCATGGTGGAAAGAGTAAATCTTTTAAATTAATTTTTCAGATTGTATAGAATTGTGTATTTTAAAAATTTTATCCTTTCTTAACTTTATAAAATAATAAATATTTTTTTATAAAATTAAAACTAACAAAAATTTTAAAAACTAAAACACATGACTTATACAATCTTCAGTATCTAGTGTGTAGCAGGTGGACCAACCAGAGTCCAACATTTCAGATGGTAAACATGTGAAAAAGACATGAGGAACAGAGAATCCGATGCCATTAAAAAAAGCATGGTTGATTTGTGTTGGGTATTCTCCAACTTCAACGTTAACCATGGTCTCTCTTTTCTCCTTAACCGTTTTATATCCATAATAGCCTTATATATACCATAGAAAATCTAACGTGGACTCTTGAAGAAACGCAGGGTTATTACCCCTGCCTCTTGGAACTCCAAACTGATACACACTTCATATTATTAAAGTAAAATATAGGCACCAAAGTAAGCTAACCCCTTTATTTCATAGAATTCAATAGGTAGTTACTAGTTGCTTCTTCTTTATTCCTTTTACTTTCTTCTGCTTGAAATTCTCTCCCATTTCTAAAGGGTCTTTTTGTGCCAGCAAAAGGGTTAACAGTGATCAATCTTTTATGTAATGTTTCTTTTTCTGTTCAATGTTCATGCATGGTGTGCTGTGGTTGGTGCAGATGAAAACTGAAACTGTTTTTGGTTTTGGATGGTTGCAGCTGGATTGGAGCATAGAGAAAGTGAACCCATTTGTGAGTAGCATAAGAGCAAGGCTGTAGCAATCAACACCGATGCCGTTGAATATATTACAGGACAAAGATGGATTGCCCCGGATTATATTGACTGAGCCAAAAGGTTCATCAGCGGAGGTTCGTTTCTGCATCTTTGTTATGATCTAAAGGTTCATTTTTGTTATTGAAAAATGGCAATTCCTCTCATGATATTTTATACTCATGGTATGCTTTGAATTTTGGTGGGCTTGATTATGAATTGTATAGCTTATGATCAACTTCTGATATAAGTTATACAAGCTCTAAGTTGTCAATACCTTGATGCTTTTGAGAAATTTTTTGTTACTCTGGACTTCATTACTAATCTTACATCATCTGAAGCAGTCAGTGCTCACAATTCAATATAGAATCTATGTTCAGGCTGTGATGCAATCCTTATCATGTGACTAATAATTTATTTGTATTCAACATTATTTGGACCAATATGAATATAGTTTTAAAGTTAAAACTAGCCATGGGTTAACAATATTGATCTTGTATGTAAAAGGTAATTTCAATTTGCAGTTCTTAATTGTATGAAGTATATGGATTCAGGTGCTACTATATGGAGGGCAGATTGTTTCTTGGAAGAATCAACGGAAGGAAGAACTGCTTTTCATGAGCAGTAAGGTAAAATAATTGTTCTTACTGCATTAAGAGTCACCAGTGGTGTGTCTAAGCATAAGATCCTTTGCTTTCCACTCCTGAAAGCCAATGCCCAGCAGCAATATTAGCAATATGAAAATATAACATGAGTAGATGATAATCATAACATAAATTAAGTGCTCTTGTTAATTGATAGTGTATGAAACATGTAGTACTTCTAAGTCCAGGTTTATTTATAGATGTCTTATTTGAAATGTTTTATTTACTTAGGAAATTTTATGCATACTTAATGTCCATTTATGGGGATTTTATACTGAACAGACTAATTGGAAACAGCATAAAGCAATCAGAGGAGGCATATCATCCTGCTTTGCGCAGGTTAGTGTCATCACACTAGTGGAAAATTATTTTGACCATTGCCTACATTCTCAAGTTTTAAACCACAATTTCTTTTGCAGTTTGGTGATCTTTGTTCACTAGAACAACATGGTCTTGCAAGAAACAGATTCTGGTCATTGGATAGGGACCCTTCACCTCTTCCTCCCTTAGACAAGCAATCATCTGTAGATCTAATATTGAAGTCAACAGGAGTTGACTTTAAGACACCCCGTAGGTATATATGAATTCAAACTGTGTTACCCTCTTTTTTCCATTTCCACTTCTACTCATAACAAATAAAGAACTGCTCAATGGAACCATCAAAGCTCTAACCTTTACATATTTGTTTGATGCTTCTGCAGTTTTGAGTTCCGGCTTCGCATCTCTCTCAATGCTGGCAAGCTAATTTTGATACCACGAGTCAGAAACACTGATAAAAAAGCATTTTCTTTTACATTTGCACTATGCAACTATTTATCTGTATCTGATATCAGGTGTGCATCTTACATATAGATTAACGGTATACTTTATTCTAAGATGACGCCTAGAAAGTTCCAATTCATCATTGATGTTTTCTTGCAACTGTATCTGTATTGCCAAAGTTTATAATCTCCAGATTTTCTCATTTTTAATGTTATTATTAGACCATCATACCATAATAGTGTTTTCTTACTATGACTCAAGTATATTAGTTTGAATGATCTTTCTTAAACATGTCTTTTAAGAGAGATTGAGTGATTCTGCAGTGAAGTGCGTGTTGAGGGATTGGAAACACTTGATTACTTTGACAATCTGAAGAACAGATCAAGGTTCACAGAGCAGGCAGATGCACTCACGTTTGATGGTGAGGTATGATTTCTTGTTCTGCTCCTTTCATTCAATTGGTTGGAGGTGTATCATAGGCTAACAAAATTGATGTCATAAGCATAACCTTTTCTAAAGAAACACACATAAACACGTGCGCACACAAATATTCTAATTGATTTTCTCATGAATGGAATATATGTGGTAGATACCAAAGCATAGTTCTTTCTTGTGTTCTCTAAGGACAGTTGTGGCTACCTTGTAGATGAATAGAGTGTACTTGCGCAGCGGAAGTAAAATTGCCATTATAGACCATGAGAAGAAAAGAACCTTTGTACTCCAGAAGAAGGGAATGCCGGATTCAGGTTGTCAATATTTAGGAAATAAATTTGTTACATGGCATTGTATTCATTTCGCATTCATATTTACATTTTTTTTGGTTATTTTAATATATATTTTATACAAACAAGGCAGTATTTTTGACTTGTTAATTTGTGATGATGAGAATGCAGTGGTATGGAATCCCTGGGATAAGAAGGCCAAGGCTCTCCCTGACTTGGGAGATGATGATTACAAGATCATGCTATGTGTGAGTTCTGCTGCTATTGATACCCCTATTCTCTTAAAGCCATCTGAAGAGTGGATGGGATATCAAGAACTCACTACTGTTTCATCAAGCTATTGTAGTGGACAATTGGATCCCCGCAAGGTTCTTTATGGCTTTCACTGACTTATCATTATCAATGGAGATTCATGTGGTCTTTGGTTACCTAGTTAGGTGTATACTGTACAGTATGCATGCACTAGCCTGTCCTTTTAATAGGCTTACATTATCCTAAAGACAGATATCAGTTGTGCATGAATTTCATGCTGATACCAAAACAAAAAGCCTCAGCAATTTGGACATTTATTCCAGCCATTTTTCAATAATCGAGAGATGCCACTTCTTATTCAGTTTATTGATGCCATGGCAATTCTATTAGTATTAGCCATTGGGTTGAGTGTAAAATCGCTTGGCAATTTTTGTAATGTGTTTATGAACTTATAATGAAATTATTCAGGGAATGGAATTTGGCAATGCTTTGATTCTACATTGAAACCAGATTACATTATGAACTTATCTTCATTGAGCAATGGCTTAGGCGCTAGTAGTTGCTAGTATTTTATTTGCATAAAGTCTAGGAAGTTGAAACTATTCTAGTAGTGATCAAGATGTGTGGATGTAGGCCCTAATATCATTAACGTATCATTTTATTTGTATTGTGTTGTATTACTTCATTTTCATGCATGCAGTCACAAAATCTAGTATCCAGAGGCGGATATTATCTATGGATTTGTTTTAATCAAACAATTTTTAGTAATAGAGGAGCTAGCACTACGCAATTAGGTTATTGGTGTTAAGTAAAATGTTCAAAACGAGCATAAATTTTTTTATATAATTCTACAATTGCAATAACTTTAAAGGTAAAAAAAAGAAAAGAAAAGTTATGATAAGTATCTCCTAAAAAAATTAATTGGAATAAAATAACCTTTGTTTCAAAATTAATCTGAACATCTATTTGCACGTTATGTAATACTCAACTAACAGAAAAGAGCCCTAAGCCGAAAAAGAAAATATGTTGAGTTCCGCACCACATAACATCGGAAGGCTGAAGTGTGGACTAGAACATAATTTCAGTATACATCACTAGAACATTCAAATTGTACAGTAATTAACAGAATCCTCACAAGTTTGATTGGTTAACATTACAGAAATGAAATAAAAGAAAATGTAAAGAGAGACAATTTAATCACCCCCTGAATATTGCAAAACAAAACCAGCAAGAAACAGGTCCCAGAGGAATCATAATTTAAAATCCAACAATGGAACATATACTTTGCTCCATCTCCGTGTTAGACTGTACAATTCAACATAAAATGTATAAAGTGAGGCAGACATCAAAATATATTATTCAGCATCTTCCTCATCTTCACCATCTTCAGCAATTCCAATATCGTCTCCAATACCTTCAAGTAGTTTGTCAACATCCTCCCCCAACTCCAACAATCTGGCACTAAGTCTTTCCACCCTGCTTTGTTCTTGCCCGAGGCATACAAGGAGATCATTCAGTTCACCCTCACTCTCCTTCTGAGCTTCTTCCCTTGCTTCAGCTTTTATTGCCTCCACATCTGGGAATGTTGAGAGCCCTCCTTTCTTCAGTGCTTTCACCTCATTCTCCAGTTGCAAGTTAGATTGCTCAAGACTATTGTACGCATCGGACAGACTCCTTAGATCAGCTTCCGTCTTTCCAGCTAAATTTTGATACATCATTGCCTCGGATTCAACTTTGGCCTTTTCTGCCTTGAGCATCTCCAACCTTTGAGATGCTTCTTGGAGATCTCTACGGAGTGTCTCTATTTGGACTCTGTCTGAACCCCCAATTGCTCTTTGCTCAGACTGGAAATTGCTACCTGTCTTAGCCAGGTCCTCAGCCAAAGTAGCATTCCGAAGAACAAGATCCTAAGATGATGACAATTGACAAGAAAAAGAATCACCAACGCAGATACATCAAAAGTCAAACCACGCATTTTATGTTGTCATTTGTGAAAGTGCACAGGCTATTCCAGTCCTACATACTTCCTTTTGTAATGAGCTATCAACCACATTCAAGGGATAAACACGTCAAAATGATAATAATAAACCAAGGTATTACTAGTCCATAATGGATTAACTGTGAAAGCCATCAGAAACAAACCTGACTTACAAACAAATTGACAAACAAGTACGTTAACTGCAGTATATACTAGTAAAGACTTAACAAAAATGTTATTGGTAAATCTTCTCACATGCATACCATTTAAAATTAACTCAATTCATAATGTTACTTTAAGAAATGCAATTTGATGGTTGATTTTATAAACTAAACCTGCACATTCCTAATTACAGTAAGGTAGACTACCTAAAAGGAACAGATTCTTGACTCAACAACCAATTTCAGAAAGAATATTGTAAGAGGAACAGATATGTACAACAGTACAAGTAATACCTGTATCTCAGAGCACTGTTTCTCAACAAAAGCTTTCAGCCGCTTTATATACTCACCATCACTTTCACCACTCTTCTGCTCTAATTCTGCTGGCACAACTGCCACCTTGGTTTTTGGATGACTATAAACCTCCACAATCTGTTCTCTAATACCTGCCTCAAGACTTTTGACAAGATTCACAAAGTATGAATCCAAGATTGAAGAAAGTATCGGATGATCCAGATTTTTCTTTTCTGACAAATCATTCTCATCTGCATCTTCAAAATCTGCCATGCTAGCTGCTGAAGATCTAGTAAATGATTTGTGTGTAAGGGATGACCCAACGCTAGCAAAAATGGAACTTTTCTGCATCTCATCAAATTTTAAAAAGTATGAACTAAGCCCAACTTTCTGACTTATTGTATCAACAATGGTAAATGCATCTTTTCCACTATCAGTGGATTTATTATAGATCACACATTCACCCAAGACAACTGCTGCAAAACCCCTTATACACACTGTTTCTGACAAATTTGATACCAGCTCAAGAAGATAAGTAAGGTGGGGGCGAGCATCTAGGAAGCAATGCACTGCACTGGGGCAATCTGCTAGCCAGGTAATCAGTAATTTCAAGATTATGGCCTGAACATAGGAGCTTCCTGATGCACTAGACTTTCCATCTTTAGATTTCTTGGAAGAAGCAAGGGCCAAATATTTCACCATTCGATGCATTAGTGGCTCTGGAGCTCCTATAGATTGCATGGGTGCCTCAATTTCAATTCGTAAAACCTGCAACTTTTCTCATAAGATTTCTCTGAACATGAAAATTTATGTTTTTCCATTTTAATCTCACCGTTCATACATACAGAGAAACAACATCTAGCGCAAAAGAAACATGGATAAGTGCTAATTGGCATGGCCATGGATAAAGAACTAAAAAATGGTGATAGATAAGAAGTAATTATTAACTTATAGGCCATGCTGCAAACTTCTGAATAACACATCTTACATGGATAGAGCTCATTTACAAAGGAAAAACCATGAATAGTTCATGTTAGAAACACCAGAAAAATATAAACTGCAAAGTTTGGGTTATCCTTAAAGTAAATGAATAAAGCAATGTAAAAAATACAAAAATATAAAAGTAAAAAAGAGGGAAAGCACAAGGGTTAAACTACGCATTGTAAAACATTCATACATATGAAGCAAATCAGATACACATTCACCAAGTAACACTTATATTATCCAAAGGCAGAGGCAGGCCCAGATCTTCAGTTTGAAGAATTAACAATGCTATTTTTTTCTAATATTGTATAGATACCTCTCACATAGGTCACTTTAAAGGCCTCACTTTTGTATTTCAGCCCCATTGAAAAAAAGGAAAGCTACCCAATAATGTCACAAAATCTAACCACTAATAGAAGGAAAAAGTGAGGAATGAAAAGGACAAATATAAACAAAAAGGGGGGTATAAGCAAGACGCTTATTAGTTGTATGGCAAAGAATAAAATTTTCAGCTGGTTTCTCAATTTTAAATAAGTCATTGCATGTCAAATATATCATCAAATTTTTATGCTTATTATTAAGTTTATTTGTATAATTAGCCTTTTATTTTTTAGTCATCGTATCTTGTTATAGGATAGGATGATAATATCTCTCTTTAAATTTAGTCATGAATGCAAACTAATTTATCAACTGAAAATTTTTAAATAATTAGAAAAAGTTCCTTAAAAGAGTAAGTGGAGGTAAGAGGGTCATTGTAGTTTAGACAATTTTTTCCTCTTTTCAGTTAGATTAAAAACAAAACTTCTGGGGTTTTGGGAAAAAAGAACTTGGATACCAAATACCCATGTGATTGTGGTAAAATGCCTTTCAACAATAATATATCTTCAGATTATGATTTTATCATATTAAAGATTTAAGGTGAGTACATTGATTCTTTTATGATAATTTTTTTTAGTAAAATTATTTAAGCATAAAAAGCAAACCCAATAGACTCTGCAGTTGTTACCTCTGCCAAAACTGATCATAGAATAAAGTTAAAAATACAATGATGTGGGGAACTGCGTGCATACCCTTTCCTTGCATTGGAGATTGTCTTTCAATATATGAGATAGAACACTAGCAGCTCTGCAACAAGTCTACATTTTTAACATAATGTTAGCCAGATAATTCAGACAGAGTAAAAAGTCACAAAAAATGGACTTCTACTGTACAGGTAAAAAGATCAAACACCACAGTTTATTTGAATTTCCACCCAACAATTCCTCTGGCATTTGCTTGCAATACAAAATACAAATCTAAAACATATATAAAGTGTCACATACCTCAAGATCACCTTCATTTTCACCCAAAGTAAGACCATGTAACAGCATGCTGAAAATGAAACAATTGACAATCTTTAAACTGATTGAAGATAACATATTATCGAAAGTATGATAATTCAGGATTCAAACGTGAACAAGAATTTGTTGTATCAAATAAGTTAAAATCTCATTATCAAATGTAACAAGTGCAGTTATTAAAGCACCACCAACAAAACAAACCTGCCGAAAGACATAACAACATCCTCCTCAAGAAGTGCATGATTCAAGGAATAAGGCTGTGGAATTAGCGTCGATGCCAGCATTGATTGACCATCAGCATTTTTCTTTTAAGATAAGGTTAATAAAAATAGGGGGGTAAGCATATATTAAATGTATATAGTAAAAAGTATTAATGCACACCAATAAAAAACTTTAAACTCTTAAATAATGGAATATATATAGTGACAAGAAAGTTTTTAAAGAATTAATCAGAAAGAAGTATGCATAACCAACCTCACAAAAGCTTTTAAACACATAATCAGTAGCAATGAACTCTTGCATGCTAGAAGTTCTCAAAAGGATTCTAAGTATAGAGTTCAGAGCAGGTTCGACTTGTGGCTCCTCTCCAAGAACTTTGCTAGCGAGAAGATCACAATTCTTTGAATCTCCAGCAATCAAATCACCAATACATTGCATACCCTACCAAAGATTGAATTTAATCATATAAACTAAGCAACCCTTAAAACTTTTTGACAGGATAATATGTTTTTTACAAAT